CTGCTACTGATACCCTCTTTGTTCCTCTAACATGCCAAGCTTGCTCACCAATCTGGCTACTTCCTCCAGTGTTCCCTTCTATTTGAAATGCTTTATACTGGAGTCTCATGTGGCTGGCTCCTTCTCAACTCTCAAATTGTGCTTCCTTAGTGATGTTCCGGAATCTTCCTATCCTGGTTAGGACCTTCTCTGTCACTTCTACCTGCTTTGCTGTCATCACAGCACTTACTTTTTTCTGAAATCACCTTGCATAGTTATTTGTTGGTTTGTCTTCTGCCTTTCCCGACTTCTCTTCCCCAATTGTAGAACGTAAATTCACAACAGAGACTGGGTCTGTCTGATTTACTTCTGAATCTTCAAACCTAGGATAGTGTCTGGCCACTTTGAAGGGCATTCAATTGATATTTGCAGGATGAATTAAGTTTTATGTTATTAAATAAGAGTAGTACATAAGGCAGGACTGAGTAAGTCATTTAATCCTGAATTTCAGTGGTCTCATTGAAACAAAATTCTTCAACTTCCTAGGCTGGAAAACAAAAGGGATGATATTTTGTGGTTATTTCTAGTTCTAAGATCTACATGGGCAGGAGTAGTAGATTTTAATTTGGAGGTAATATTTATTTCAGAATTTCTCAGAATACTTTAAATTTATACTTTAAAATTTAAAGGATAGGAACCCCTTAAACTCCTTCTATTCTACTTCTAAGCTTATCTATGGAAGCACTGTAATTTACCACTTATCCTCCTAAACAGGAGAAAACAGCACCCATAATGGCCACACTGTCACATGCTTCGAATTCCCTCCTGCCCCATGTTTTCGGGAATCTTCAGTAGCCTAATTTGCCAGTCTCTAGGAGTTGCTTCTGCATGGGTTTTTCTTTTTAGCACACAAATATCTTAGGCAGAAGCACAAAAACCAAGTGCAGTAAAAATTTTTCTCCGTCAGGTGCAGCTGTATAATATTGTACTTTCTCTTTTCATTTGTTACCAAGGTGGGGGCAAGAGAGGCCCTATTCACTCACTATTAATTTTAGAAGCCACTTTACTTTGGCTTTGTGACCCATATCTGACTTAATTAATATCATCAATGCATCCTTGATTGACACACTCAATGACTTGTTTTCAGCCCTCATTGTACTTTGCCCTGAATTTTCCTTTACTTCCTAGTAGAGGGAAATGGTTACAAGTCCTGTGGTGCCTGTAATATTCTCCAACAGCAGCACAATTTTCCATGTTCAATATAACTTTTCAGTGTACTGGCAATCATTTATACATGCGAAAACCAAATTTATAGTTACTCAGCCTTGAAGCTAAGTTTTAAATATAGGCAGAAATTTATTTTCACACATTTTAATATTCATTAAACTTTCCAGAAATTTGGTTAGTATGTAAATTGAGAACTGATTAACTTATTTGGTTTGGATTTTCAGTAAGAGTTGTTCACTGTCTTATAAAATTCCCTCTTCAGTGACACCATGTCTTGTGGTATTTGATTACTAGTTTACATTATCTGTCTAAATTTGTACATATCACAGAGTTCTGGGTATATATATATCTATATATGTAAATGTATACACAAATATCTGCAGATTTGTATGTGTATTCATATATATATACATTTAAACACATAAATATTTTCAATCCTTGTAAGATGTAAATATAAAGAAAACTAACAATAGTGAAATATTAATTTATTGTCTAAAGAAAAGCTTATTCATTAAAACTAGGTATAAGCACCTGAGATCTTCATTATATCACTTAAAGTATACATGCTTGAGGCACATACATAGTGAACTAGATGTTATTTTATGATAAATAAAATATCTTTTATTTCTCCTTTATTTTAAGAGCAGAACATTAGATACTATACCTGTGAAATTATATGTGTAAACATATGTTTTCTATGACTTTCATTTAATAGTACTCAAAGGTGGTGTTATAAAATATTTTATTATTAAAGTAAATGTTGAGTCTGATGGGGTTGAGGACTTTGATGCCTGTTTGGGTTACTCCTGTGAGTGAATACTCCTTTTACCCTTTTCTACCCAGAAAACTCCCATTGGTAACCAGGATCCCCCCTTCCATCTTTTTGTGTCCCCTTGAACATGGTGCTATTAAAGTAGTTATTAAATAGCACCCTACTCTTCTAACTGTTGGTCTTCCATTCTAGACTGCAAACTCCCAGACTGTGGGGGTTTTAATTCTCTTTTGTAAACTCAGGATTGAGCACATAGTAGTACCTCAATAAATGCTTATAAAATGAATAATCTACTTGGGGAGTAGTTACCATAATCCTTCCTAGAAGTGACAAAATGAATTAGGCAAACTTTAAAGCATTCATACGGAGCTCCACATCAGTAAAGCAGATAAAACCAAGCTTTTATCTGCTTTTGTAGTTTTATAGTGGAGATGGGCTGCCCTGAGTCTTCATCAGCTTGCTTTGCTGATTAAGGGCAGACATACCCTTGAGGGCATGGGACTCTCTAAAGCACTGCCATAAAACTCCAGTTTGGAAAACATTGGACTAGATGATATCTCATCAAAGTGACCTCTAACTGAATGATGTTAGAATTTATCATTTAATCTTGTATCAAATTCATATTCATATGACAAATTTCCCAGATTAGTTTCTTTGAATTTTAGATCTCTTTTTCTCTGAAAGCATTTTTTTTGTATTTTGTCAGAAACAAAATGGATGTGAATATCTGTAATGCGCTTCTTGCATCATACATACTTTTGACAAAAATTATTCAGAAATAACCCTATGTACTGAAAAGTATGGCTAAGTTATGTAATATAGCTTATATATAAAAGAAGTATATTTATTGTCTCTGTTGCAAAATGTTATGAATTATTCCAAATTGTTCACTTGTCTGGTTGTTACCCTTTTACAATGACAAGTTATCTTTGATGAAGTCTAATATCTGATTCCCTAATGCCCCTTTCAGACTCCTTCCCACACCTGCTGTCTATAATGTCTATCTACCTTAGTCTGTCACCTGATCATGTGCTGCTGTTCTTTATAACCAGTAACTATTCTCAAAACATTTCCTTTACGCCTTTCATTTCTTGAGAAATTCTTTCAGCTGCAACTAGCTAATATGATAGCTCTATATTAGTAGACAGTACATACTTTTTGAATAAATATGTATATCTGTGGTCATATGTAAGTTTTTAAAGGATAGTTTTATTAGGAAACAGGGTTTAATCCAAAGAGAGTGGAAAGGGGAAAGAAATAACCTCCAGCAAGTCATTAATATGTACCTGGAACTGGGATAGTTTTTTCATATAATGCAAATGTATTTTTAAAAATCATAAAAACTCACTTTTTACCATTTACAGAAAAGAACTCTTAAATAAGTTAAATAAGCCCAAGAAGTGGAGCTGAGGAGCATCAAACCTTGGTTTGTCTGACTTCAAAGCCATATTCCCTTCCCTATCATATCACATCTTAAAGTGGATAGAAACTTTGGGAACATAACAGAATCCATGAAATCATATAGGAGCTGAGAACTGGTATGATTTCTCCACAGCAAACTTCACCCTTTTCCTTGATGCTTCATGGTAAAAGTGATCTGAACACCTGCTTTCCACCAAGACTATTTTATGCCAAACTGAAGTGAGTCATATGAATTTGCTCGTTTCAGTTTACTTGAAGGAAGTCCTGCCTCAAACAGTGATTGTCTGAATTACATATGTGAATGGAATTACATAGTTTTTAACTGAAATTAAGCTCATTTATTACTGAATTCTAGAAATCCTGTCTCAACAGCTATAATCCATTTATCTATTCAGGAATTTGGTCAATATTGATTAAGTACATTAACTTCCCCTAACAATTCCATTTTGCCTATTCATTTGTTTACCCAAAAAGTTAATTAACTTTTGAAATGATGAAGTTTTATTCTATAGTTTATTAGGTCAAGTTTTGGGTTTTCCTGAGTTTCACTTGTATTATCTCTTTAGATTCTCAAATTAAACAAGAGGGGAAGGTAATATTATTTTATCATTCCTTTACAGATGAAAAAAGTCAGTCTTGGGACTTTGTCTAAGGTCTACAGAATTCAGGAAGAATATCTTGTTCTATTGTACTGTTGCTAACTGACCTCAGTTTGACAAGCATGTTCTATAGAAAGGTTAGTCCTAATTCTAAACCTAGTAAATCCTCTTGTCAGAGGCTTCTCTTATGCTGAAGTCTTCAATGGCAAGGGAACAACCATCTATTGAGGCTGGTATTCTCTTAAAAAAAGTAACAAAACGAACCAAAGATGGTGAGGAGTTCTTAGGCCTGAAAGAGCACTTAATTAAAAAGAAAAAATCAGCACATTGAATTTATCTTTTTCAACCTGCTCTCTTAGAACTACTTTCACACCTTCTGTAAATATTTCTATTGTAGAATCCAGAAATCTATATACATTAAAAACTAGTGGTAGTTAAGTGGCAAACCTACCTCATTTTTATCAAAATTTTCTTTGAGGATCTGATTATATTTATAGACCCTCTATGCAGAACATACCCTTCTCATTTCCTAAGAAATTTTATAAGGTATTGGGAAAGTGCAGAAAGTATTTTCTAAACTGGCTGATATTTAAGACAAAAGGTTTTTGAAGAAGACATTTCATGAGGTGCCCTCTTCTCCATGATTTGAACAAAAAATACATCCCCACTGTTGCAAACCAGAATAAGGAGAAGGAAATCCATAATATTTGACAGTTTTATACCATGGACTTAATATATAGAGATTATACATCCTAGAAATGTGATGCATACTATGAAACATATGTTTCAAAGTTTAATTTGTTGGGTCAAGGAAGGACATATTTTGCATCTTTCAGCAAATATAGAAGGAATTTAAATTATTTGCAGAGAATGAAAATTTCCATTTCATTTTATAGAATTTCCAAGTGAAGATGAATTTCATCTGTCAGGTAGGAAGTTTGTAAAGCAAACACTTTTAAAATTGCAATCATTCTGAAATAAGATTCTTAAGTAGCTCTTACCTCATCAGAACCTGATCCAAAAATCAGCAAGTCGAAAGGAATTGCTGCAACCATGTCAATCAGGAACCAGCCTTTGAAGTAGTGTATTGCTATTTTGGCAGGATCACTTACCACTTCTTCATTCTGATTTACATACGTTGTTCTGAAGTTTATTAGAATATCTATGATAAACATAATATCCACAATCAAGTCTACCACATTCAAAGGGCTACAGGAATAGCCACATTCTCGTCTTTTCTGTTCTTCTCTGTCATTGAGGAGGAAAGCTGCAGAGTAGGGAGTGAATATAGCAGTGTATATGACCAACAGCAGAATAAGCCAGTCCCAGACCGCCTTGAAAGGACTGTAGTGCAATATTGTAAACTTGTTGATGCGTGGGGTCTGTAGTTTATATTCCGGCAGGACATCTGCTCCCAAAGAAAGAACCTGAGTACAGAAAAGAAAACCATACACCACATAAAAATGTCATTGTTTAATCATGCTGGCATACCAATAGTAACATAATTACACAGCAAAATATATTAGAAAGGATCCTGTAATTTTGAAGTATTAATAAAAACACATACACAATTAAATCAATCAATACAAGACCTTATCATGTGGTATATTTGGTTCAAGAAAATCACAATGGTATTTCTTGATAAATATGACTTGTTACTGAAAAAATAATGAATATTGTTTCTGAAATACTTTTTTATTTGTTTATTTTTATTATTGTACTGGGGTACATTTACAAAATTTCTTAATATTTAATAATTGAATTCACCCCTTTTATTGTTCTCCCCATTCCTGGAATAGTTTCAACAGGTCTCATTTTTCCATTTACATGCACGTATACACAGTATTTGCCCCATATTCACCCTACCATGCCCTTTCCCCACATCCTCCCCCTCCCACTGGTACATACTCTCCACAAAGGAACTGTTTTGCCTTCCTGTTCTCTATTTTTGTAAAGAAATGACATTTTTGTTTTTTTAAAGATAGCTAGACAGGGTATTTCATTGTGACATTTCCATGTATCTATGTACTATAACCTGAATTGGCTCATCCCTTCTACTGTTCTCCTTTCTACTGTGGAATGGTTACTGTTTCTTTTGAAATGGTAATTCACAAAAATAAAACTACATGACTTTTTAAAAAAAATCATAGTAGTTTGATATATGAGTAAAAATTCAGTTTTTAAATCTAAGAAAGGACTGACTTTAATAAATAGAAATCTACTTAGATCTACAATCATATTTGATTTATCCAAATTTAACTAGTAATTAAATTTTGATAAATTAAAAACAATCAAATCTTTAAGCAGAATTTCCCCTCTTGTAAATTGTTTTTAACATTAGGGGGAAAAGGTCAGGTGTGGTGACACACACCTGTAATCCTAGCTGTGCAGGAGGTATAGGTAGAAGATTGAAGTCCTGAGCAAAAACTTGAGATCTTATTAAAAAAAATAATTAAAGCTAACATGCCTGGAGGCCTGGCTTAGTGGTAGAGTGTCTGCCCAACAAGTGCAATCTCAATCCCCCAATACTGCAAAAACAAAAATCCTTGAGGGGGAATGAGATTTAAATGACCAGAAAGGAGTCTTTTACCTAAATGGTAAAAGTCATTTCATATTCCAGGCAAAGTATTTCATCCAAACTCCCCCATGAGATTTAGAGAATCATGAAGGGGCAACGCAGCCAGGAGATGTTCAGAATATTGATCTGAAATGTTGCAAAAGTTTTTGTTACAAGAAGTATGTAAAGTCTAAGATTTGTTCTACTTAAGAAGGCACTATTGAAGTAAATTTGTTTACCTTTTAGAATTTTAGTTTATGTGAAAATACAAGCATTAAATGTGAGTCACGTAGTTACTAAGAAGATAAGTCCACAATTTTGTGATTTTAGGTCAACTTGCAGAAAACAAAAGTCAAAACAAAAAAGTTTTGTAGCTATGCAATATGGCATATATAGGACCATTTTAAGGGAAATGTGGGTCTTAATTGTATACTATCAATATCCCACACATACACTATGGCTCTCTTTCAAGGTTAATTTCATTACATACATTTTCTTAAACTTAGATTCTTGTAAGCAGCTAACGTACCATCTTTAGCTTTGCAGCATGAATATCAGGTCCCTGTCTCTTAGTTAGAGTTTGTTCTGTGTTTTCAGTTACTCTGTCCAGGCTGAATTTATCTTAACTATAATAATTAACTACCTTAGCCAAATATAAATTTTAAATATTATTTTTACTGCCATATCTCAGACCTTGCTTCCCCATATAACAAGATAACATTCCTATCTAAAAAATGACTTGAGAAGTTAATCCTAAATAAGACATCACATAACTTTTAAATATAACACGAGCGTTCAGCTGAAACAGGAGAAACTTCTTTTAGATAACAACAAATTAACTATCTTTGAAAACAATAATGAAGAATCTGACCTGATCCTTCATTACTCAACCAGAGTAAATCTGAACCACCAAGTTTATGGGGGAAACAGGACTTTATTTTAAACTATTATAAGAAATGACAGGAGCTAAGTATTAAGAAAACATAAATATGAAAATGTGATTTCCTATTTATGAAACAGTAAAAATCTTCAAAATCCAAGATATACAAATATATAAGTATATAACTTTTAAAACCCAAAGAGGAAAAACATTTGGATTACCTCTTATTTGATAAATGCTGATTAATAGAACTCTGATACCATTGAGGTTAATGAAGAAAACCAGTGCATGACATTTTGATCTGGAAGAATGAACCATCTCTTTAGGTACCATTATGTAATGTAAGGTCCCTTTCTCAAAGCCAATGGATACTTTGTGCAAAATAAAATCATTAAAAAGTATGGAGCTATTTTGTCTTTCCAGCCTCTCTCCCATTAGACTCCTGTACATATATACAAATTGCCCTAGCAAAATAAGGCTAAAACTTTTGAGCTGCTTATATCTTTCTAAATCCCCAAATCCATAAATTTCTCTCATAAAATGGCATATAATCATCCAAAGACAGCAAACAAGGCCATTTTTAAAGATAGAGATATTTGTGTGAGCTTGTTCACTGCTTAAGTGACATGCTGCTGATACCAATCTCCCACGTGGGGCAATGTGAATTCTTGTTCTGCCAGAAGTACAAAGTAGAATGCATGTAGATCTTGGAATGTCCCCTGAGAAGCAAAACTGTGACTGGAACTTGTTCTTTCCCACTAAGACATTCGTTTAACATTTGCATGACCAGTGTGCTAAGGTCTGGAGACTGAAAAATGTTCCTGGCATTACAGAGTTTATGGTCTCTTAGAAAACAGATGTGCAGGAAAATGGGAGACCTGCTGAGATCAACTTCACTCAGTGTCTGAGGCTGGTTGTGGTGCTGATTGGGTGTGGGGGATATTCGTAGAAGATTTTCAGGAAAAGATGACAGTTGACCCAAGACTTTGAATAGAAATTAGAAGTGGATGCTATTGGGATGAGGAAGTTGGAAAGGGTAGAAAATTACAGAAAGGGACACAATTAACAAAGAAAGCTAAAAGGACCTATTATGTGTTAAGGACTTATAAGCAGCCTTATATTTTACTGAGGGATAAACTGTAAGGGAAATAGTGGTGGAGGATGGCAGCAGAGAGGGCAAAGCCAGGCTAGAGAAGGTCTAGGGTGAAATGATAAGGTGCTTGTAGCCATCAGATCTTAAAAGAAAGTCATGATACAGATTCCAGAAGGAATCAATCTTGCCAATACTTTCACTTTGGACTTCTAGTTCCAAAAATTGTGAAAGGATGTAATTCCATCGTTTTAAGACATCCAAATTGTGATACTTTATTACTATAGCCTTAGGAAAGTAATGTAATGGTGAAAATGAAAACAAAACCAGTGAATTCAAGTTATCATCATTAATTCAATATTTGACAATTCTCTAGGTCAAAAAAAATTGAATTTGGTTATTTTATATGATTTATTCTAACAGGCAAATATGTTTTTCTTTTCTAAACTCAATGCTTTTTTGCAAAAGCATGTTGTCAAAATAATGTTTTAAATTTCAAAGATTTAATTGTTAAGTCAAGATAATCCAGCCAAATCCTTAAGGCAAACTCTACTCCTGCTAGGCTTCCAAAGCTAATTCATTTTTTAATTTAAAAAAAATGTACAGTGAAAATTATAGCAAAGCTTATTAGGAAAGGCATACATTTTCAATAGACTGAGAGTGGATTGTCTTTAGAGTGAGAAGGGCATTATCAGTATTTGGAGCTAGAATATTTATTGAGATTGCCCAAGAGGAATTCTCAGTCCCAGTCCATCTGATGCCTAGGATGTAGCTTCAAAAGCTTATTTATTTTTTCTCTCTTTTATTGTGCTAGATGCAAGTACATTGTGTCATAATGGCATTATTCGAGAGCTCTGTAAGAGGTTTTGTTTACTTGGAGTTAACTTTAGCTTTAAGACATTCCTAAATTCTACTTTAAGTGATTATCTAATCAAATTATCTCTGGAACAGGGTTTAAAAAGATAGTTTCCTTGTTATATGCCAATATACCTATTGATACAGAACTATTATAATTTGTTGTGAACAATGGAGTGTGTTTTGATAATGAGTTGGGAGTAATTGGTATGATACTAAATATTATAGGTTTTTTTGAATTCTGCATGGCTATGCATGTGTTATATGAGCACTCAGTCATCATGTGACTTTTACTGCGAGAATAACTTCAATAGCTTTTATTGATGCAGCATGCTTAAACATTATGAAGTCTTACTACAAATCCAAATGTAGTCCAGGGTACTGAGATCAGGTAGGTGGCAGTACTCTGTTGTTAGGAGATCATTTTAATGATTCAGAAGATTACTGTATTAATTTTTGACAAGGTAGAGGAATATTTTAGATTTCCAAAGCATTCTCATTGCCCTTTGAGAATATTCCTTTATAAAATACCAGTTTGAGAACTGTCAAATGTAACTGGACAGGGAAGACAAGGTGACCATGTTTGTTTATAGACAGATGAGCCTGGCAATAAAATAGGACAAACAGGATCGGAGATTAGAGTTCAATTAAGTCTTTTGTACTACAAGAGATATAATAAAAGACTATACTAGGGAGTAGGCAGCAGATATGGAGAGGATGGGACACAGTGAGAAATAAATACTTCTTGGGGATATAAAAATGAAGCGTAGAGAAACATTTCTTTCTTTATGGTTCTAATACTAACATGTATTATTAGTGTCAACCATAGTAATAGAAATCTCTGAAGCGTCAAACCAAGTTTAGAAGAAAGGAATGAATACTAGACTGAATTTGAAGACCTGACTTTGAATTACAAATATGAGTTTTCTAGCAAGACTTTCATCTCTCAGGATCTCAATTTCTTCATCTGTACAATGGATATAGTAATCTTTGCCCAAATTACCCATATATAAGGAATTACTATATCAATAGATAATTTCTGCTA